AGCCCAAAATTAACCAGTGCATGAAAAAATTGTGGTTATAATCGATTTTTAGTTTTTGCTAATAGTCATAAATATATGAAAATGTAAACTATTATTATAAAACAGGCACAATGATGAACTTTCTCCTGTACGTTTGATTTGGTGTGTCGTACTGCCCTCTGGTGGTCAGTGCTGGAATTGTCCGCTTGGCTTCCTCTCATTGTTCAGCATTTCTTGAATAATTTACATTTACTCATTTAGCAGATGCTTTTATCCAAAGCGACTTACAAATGAGGACAATAGAAGCAATCAAAACCAACAAGAGAGCAATGATACACAAGTGCTAGAACAAGTCTCAGTTAGCGTAACGCAGTACACGTAGCAAGGGTTTTTTAAATCACATAATAAATAAAAAGAAAACAGATAGAATAGAAAAAGATTAGAGCAAGCTAGAGTTAGAGGTCTTTTTGCTTTTGTTAATTGTAGATTGAAAAATAAAAATAAACGTCTCAGGTTACTTATGTAACCATGGTTCCCTGAGTAGGGAACGAGACACTGCGTCCTCTAGAGGTCGTTATGGGGAACGTAGGGACTACACTGACAGCCGTCTACTCCCATAGAACTATGGTAGAGTTGGTATTTAGTGCTCGCCATGGTTCTGGCTTGCATCCCCCTCAGCATGGCGGCGTGGGTATACTGTTCCTCATAGCGACCCCTAGAGGACGCAGTTCGAAGTTCCCATGAAAGGGAAACAGATAGAATACAAAAAGATTAGAAAGCAAGTGTTAGTTTTTCTTTTTTAAGAAAACAAGCAGCAAATGAATGGCGTGCAAGTCTAAAAGTTTTTGTTTTTTTTTAAGAAGCCTATTTATACTATAGTCGCACCGGTAGTGACGTCATGGCTGTCGCCGGCCAACGGGTTGGTGTTTTTTCAATGTATGCTTCAGACACGGGTCACGACGAGGCGTTCCCCATAGCGACCCCTAGAGGACGCAGTTCGAAGTTCCCATGAAAGGGAAACAGATAAAATACAAAAAGATTAGAAAGCAAGTGTTAGTTTTTCTTTTTTCTTTAAGAAAACAAGCAGCAAATGAATGGCGTGCAAGTCTAAAAGTTTTTGTTTTTTTTTAAGAATAGAATTAGAATAGAGAGTACTAGAGTTAGAGGGTCAAATAAAGATGGAAGAGATGTGTTTTTAGCCGATCCTTGAATAATTCATTAATTATTATTAATCAATAATTAATTGACTCATAATCATGAGGTAATTGGCTTTGGTTGCTGTTTTTTGTCATTTCGGCATTTCGGAGAACATTTTGCCCCAATATGTAATTTAGTAGGCTCCAGTACAGTTCTCTATTATCAAACTTGTTTCTTGGGCCGCATGTAATCGGGTGGATGACGTGGAATATTTGTTCTTTTGAAAAATGTTTTTGTTAAACCACAGGAACCAAAAACATGGGATTAAATTAGCTTGTAATATCCATGCATCTGTAAAGAAATGTATTTCAAAAAAGTGAACTAAACTAAAACCATATTTAAAAAGTGAACTAAAATAAACGTATAAAAACATTTTATTTCAGCTAGCTGCTAACATTTCTCAACTTGATTTTACAAAAAAAAAAAACTGAAATAAAAGTGAATACAACTATATTTAAAAAAACATCAAAATTCCTTAAACTTTAACTAAAATGGAAAATATAAAAGTAAAAACATTCAAAATACTGATAAAAACTCTTTTCAAAATATGAATAAAAACTATAACAGTACCTCAATAATACTAAAATAACACTGGGCTGCTGAACAGAAATGACAACAAATTGAATTTGTTTTCAGAGGTTTTTGAAGTGAATCTAATGGAGACTTTCATTTCATTTTTTTAATGATTTTTTTGCCATGCTACAAAAATAGAGTTGGCACTGATGGCGGGGGATGTAATGGTGTACATATCACGTCTTTTTTTTTAAAATACAAACATTCTACTAAACTGATATCAGTACCCAATATATCAAATGCAAATATCAAAACTAGTTTCAGTACAACATCCGTAATTGTGAAATACTCGCATAGGAATGTAACCTCTCACACACACACACACACACCTGAAAGATCCCGACATTCGTTCAGTTCCTCCGATTTGGCAAATGATCTTGATTTTGACATTTATTTCATTAGCACTCATTTGTTTCTAAGCTTACCGAGTGTTGTTTTGTACATGTGAATGTTCCTATATTTGCACACTCTCTCAAAAAGGTAGAAAATAACTTGATAATAATGCAACTCAAGCATACGATAAACTTTACAATAGAAAATTTATATGAACCGGTTGTCTAGATCAGTCCGTCTGCTCCACATGCCGTAAACAGATTTGTCTTTTGTTTGGAAACCCTTACGAACATTCGAGCGCATGCAGACGAGTGTTACAATCACATTTGCAGCACTGCAAACATCCTCCAGGTCCTTCTGAAAGCGTCTGATGCACGTCATGACCTGAAGCTCGCGTGATGTTTTTATAATCGACCTTTACAACACTGTGCTGTTTGTGAAATACTCAGAAAACAGGCCTATAGTGATGAACGTACAGTAGTGTTCGACAGGGATGCACTGGTTCAGTTTATCTGATACATGTTTTTATTGTGGCCAATGTTATGAATATACACTGTAACCCTGTATACACTGATTTTAAAGTTATTGAAGTATGTTTAACAAGAAAATACTATTTCCAGCTTTCAACTAAAAATGTCATGTTTAATTCAAAGTGTTACTTGCCATTTTGTTATTGATTGTGAAATTTACTAGCAATTTCTGAGTGAAAACTATGAAACTTGTTTCTACCTTTATGTTTAATATATATATATATTATTTTTAATCTGAAATAAATATATATTTTTATTTTCGGAAAAAAAAGATGATGGTTTTAAGATATTCTATATATGAATAATCTTGAATTTTTTTCAGTGTAGTTCTTTTTTTTTTTTAAGTGACAGTGAAGCTCAAATTTAACAATTTTAATGCTTTTCATGTAAAGTTCAATTTTTTTCATGTGTATTAAGACTACAGTTTAGTATATGTATAACCTGTTATAGAAAAATATATATTTTGTTATTTATTTATTTTAAGAAATCTGAGTTGGGGAAAAATTAAGTCTTAATTTTATCTACTTCCAATATTGGCTGATAACATTGTCCATTACCAATACACAGTGCATGACTAATATTATAAACTGTACAGTTTCTACATTTGAAACCCCTTTTAAACCAGCTGTAGCACCAAACGCTCATCAAATATCAGGGTTTCTTAGCAACTGAGAGGCGTGAGAAAGAACAGAGCTGCTCGGAGACTCACTGAAGCGTGTGTTCGGACGACAGACGTAAGCGTACGACTAAAAACACTCGTCCACACGTACGCGGCTATTTTTATAAACGCAGTTTTTCCTTCTTCCGTTTAAAAAAAAAATCTCCGTCCACATGAAAAAGCAAAAGCATGCTATGAAGCACTGTCAAGGGCATGCCAAACCAACAGGTGGCGATATAATCTCAACCGTAAAGCCATGTTGGCCAATCAGAAGCCTGAAAAAGTCTCCAGTAGGTGGAGATAACAGCGCAGGCTCCGACGTCACAAGCCAAAAACTCCGGTTTCGCTGTCTACACGATAACACTGCAACCGGAGTTTTTGAAAATCTTCACCCTGGCAGGCGTTTTCAAAAATGTTCGGTTTCAGTGAACTGGTGCTGCATTTGCATGTGGAACGAATGGCCAAACCACATAGAAAAAGCAGCGGTTTTAAAAATAAGCGTGTCCGTGTGGACAGGGCCTCACGCTAGCAGAGCAGAAGGGCTGTGGAGGGAGAGCGAGTGTTTACAGTGACGGCAGTGTACCATGTGATTCTAGAATACCGTAGTGAGCATCTTTTATTGCTCTCAAGTGCAAAATGAGTGACTTACATCGACACAGTAACCACAAGAAAGACGTATCTCGAACACTTTTGATATTTGTGAAATAGAGAGTAAAACATCACAGCATTGGTGAATGAGGTCTGCTAAACCGTCGTAGTGTTTCCTCATCTGTACCTGTTTGACTTGAACGTTTCAGACCTGCGTCTGTGTGTCGAGCGTATGAATGCAGAACAGTGCACTTGTGAAGTACTAAATAATGTAGTACATATACTTGAACTACAGTATATATATATACAAGCAAATCTCACAAAACCTGTCACGTCCAGGTCGTATTTCACCCCAAATTAAAAGAAATACGAACTTACATTTTGCATGTTTTTAAAAAAATTTTTTATAGAAGTCTCTTCTGCTACCCAAGTCAAAAGGGTAATATTGTGAAATATTACTACAATTTAAAAGTTTTCTATCTGAATATATTTTTAAATATTTTTAAAATCATTGTAATATAATTTTTATATATATATATATATATATATATTTGCTGCTAAATTATTAGCAGTTATTATCGGTGATTAGTTCTTAGTAATAGTTCTTCTTATTATCAATAATGAAAATGTTTTGGCTGCTTAATATTTTTGTGAATATATTTTTCAGGATTCTTTAATGAATAGAAAGTTTAAAAGAACAGGATTTATTTTAAATAGAAATATTTTGTAAAAAAAA